TGATTTCACATTACACCTAATTTTATGATCTGCAGGGATGCGGCAACATCGCGAGGCGCAGTGTATAAATTATCCCATATTATAAATATATCAATTATGCCGTATATTACCAATTAGAAGCAACTCAATTTTTGAAACATTTATAAATATACAAATAGATTTGTCAGAAAGTATTATGTTTTAATAATAAGAATAAAAGAAATCATCCTTTTTGATGTACAACAATTATTAAGCTTTTTGGTTGCTTTTATTCGGTAACATACAGTGTTGGTAAATGACCTTGGTCATTATGCACATAACCTATAGTCATCGGCACATTATGAATGATTAAGTGACGTAAAGAGACAACTATTTTTTACCTTCTAAAGTGTATAAATATGACCGACCAATCAGAAGGTTTGCATACATCACATTAGGTCACATTAGGTCACATCAGGCTACATCAAGGTTACATAAAGTTACATGACTATATGGCCTGTGACTTTGTCACTTAATCATTTATGGTCATATGCCAACACTGCTGCACTGGTAACATACGGTAACAACTTCAAAAAACATCAAAAACATCAAAAAAAGTAACCTAAAAATTCTAATTTCATCATATCTAATAATACGGAATATCAATATAGTACGTAGTAATTAATACCTGTCATAGGCAGTATTGGTCCTATAGGCAAGCAAAAGAGACACGACAAAAGCAATTATGGTGATAAAATTCGACTTAATTCCAAGCTTGAGAATTGTAAACTTCCAAAGTCCGACAATCAATACCGAAAAAACAGTGATGAGAAGTGCTTGAGGAATGACTCTTGGAAGCACCGACTTCTTCCATGCGAACAAGTTCGATGGATGATCATCATATGGTGAATAAAAGTCTGGGTGTCTTTTTTTAATTGCTACGGAATTTTCTTTCGACATTTTTATGAATAAATTGACAAGCGATTGTTTTTTTTTTAAAAAAAAACAAAAATTAAATTTTGTGCAGAATGGAAAATTTAATCATCCAACGAGTTATCGTACTAGAGCGATAGCAAAAAAAAGTTTACGATTAATCATTATATATATATAATTATTTTTGTGTCTGTGAGACATTTTAAATATTTGGACTTTGAATTTACATTAACATGTTGCAATTATAAGCCGATTTCCATCTACGTACGTACATACTTCACCTTTTGCAGGCATCTTTAAGACATCGATATTTAGTAGGACATAGCTATTTATCATTTATCAGTACTACTTGCACAAAAAAGTGTGTTACAAACAAAGCCTAACTTTTAACGGAATCATGTCATTATCATTATATGTGCAGTATATATGTTAGACGTAACATACAGTATATTCTGTAACAGCATTTTTACCTACCTATTGTTTCTGTGAGAAAAAAAGTACAACCTCACGCCATAATAATTATTTAAAGCATTCCATTGGGATGCCCTGATTTTATGGCGTGTGTAGTAATTATGTGATCCTTAGTAAACTTCAATATCCCGTTAGTACAAAATTCATTTCATAATACTGTTACGTATTTCAATTCAAATTTAATTAGGTCTCGAGTAAGGAAAAATTAAACTTCGTTATTCTTTTTTTTATTAAAGATTTTTGAAACATTTTATTATCTGAGTTGCTTTCTTATGATAGTGAAACATTTTAAATAAATATTTATTAATCAACAGTAAATATTTACATTATTATATCTAATGTTTTCCAGAGATGTTTTCTAGAAATTTAATAATAACATCGTACTATGTGGCCAATTACGTAAATTTCTAATTAATCTGTGTTAGAAGACATAGCGATAGCAAAATATCTTCACGCCAAAGCGAAAACAATTGTTTTATTTTTTTTTAGTTAATATACGAAAAATAAAAATAAAAATAAAAAATTTATTACTGTTTACAAGCATACGTATATGTTAAGGTTGGAGTTTTAGGCTCGTCATTAATAATTTTTAATATAACTTCAGCGTTATATATATATATATCATGCTTAAGTTGCGTCCAAAATTAAGTTCTAAATTAAAATTTTATTAAATCAAGCACACACGTACGTATGTAGTATGGTCGGCGTAATTTTGAGAGATATTAATGCTCCGAACTTTGTCCTGTGAACATTTAACTACGTAGAGCAAAACTATATGAGATCTATTAATAAAACTACTCAAAGTAATTTTTCAGATTTCAATATAATGATCAGGAAAGACTATACGTTCATAGCATATCACTCTTATATAATTTACAATCATTTAAATGGTTTGGGGTGAAGAATATATTACATTATTTTTTCAAATGCTTTAATATAATGTATATCATTTCTTTTTTCTTTTTTTTTTTGGTAATTGTCACGGGTTATACTGGAACTCCCGTGTATTGGTGGGTCTTTACTATCGATATTCACTCGCTTGGCTATTATCTTTGATGACCGTGTATCGTACAGGTCCTTCCACCGATTGTATTACGTTCACACAGGTAATAGTTTTTCACTAAGATTGAAAGTTATTATTCACAAAGCTCAAAAAGCTTCTGGTTCTTTCCCTTTCGGGATCGATACCTTATATATTATTACTAATCGCTATTCAGCGTCACATATGCTCATGCAATCAATGTTTTAAACTTTTAATTCCCATGCACACCCGAATCACGCCATTCATGCATATCGGGATCATGACCCGATCATGATCCCTGACCCTTACCCTTGCGCTACGAATATCCGGGACCACGACAAATATCCTGGATTATTTATGCATTGGAAAAAACTTATACATAGAATAAACTACGAAGGAAATTTATTGCTAGCACAAGATTTCGATTTTATTATTATTAATAATGAATAATCTTATACAGAAGATAAAGATGTCTTTTTGAATAATTACTGAATGATTATATTGATGATAACATATTAATGAAATTATATGGGAAAGAACTTCTTAAGTCTTACTTAAAATTCAATAGCAGAAAAATTATTTAGTAAAATATTTAAGAGATAGAAGATGACAACTTTTTAGTAAAAATTTAGTTATTTGAAATTGTTACCTTTTTATTTATAGAGTTAACTCAATTTTCTCAATTTTTGAAAGAATTTTTATCACACACTTTATTTATTCATTTGACTAATAACTTTGAGGAATTTGAATTTAACAAATTCTTTTCAGAATTACATCATCAGAGCCATATAAAATACAGTATAATCTCTCTATAATCACACACTTGGGATACAAAAATGGGTGATTGCAGAAAAGAAACAGTTATAGAGGGCAAATATATTATATTTAATAATAGTTCGTTTTAAAAAATCTATGAATATAAAGAAATATGTTTATGTAGGAGGTGACTATAGAGAGGTCTGACTGTATTTGTTTTTTATTTAATTTTATATTCTGCTTTAGGACAGTTGCTACAATATAATCTGACAATTTGTTTATTAACCCCATCTTTGATTACTAATATTTGGAATTATTTTGGTATTTAAATTTAATTTTTATTTGATAATTATTAAATTACAAATATTTTTATATAGTTCAAATATAATTAAATATGTTTTAAGATATAGGTGCAATATTATTTATTATATTAACTTCTGTTAACTGGCTGCAATCTTGAACTTAAATTTATAACATTTTTTTGTGCTTTTGAATTTAGTGGAATTCATTGGGCAATGATTATTGGGGTCATACAAAATTCTTTGAAATAATTGGACTTATTATGTTTGTTTTTGCATATTCTTTACATATTTTATTAAGACCAATTTTGATTCTAAAATTTCCAATATACTTTATCAATGATCTCCAATTAATGCATTCATAAACAAAATGAAATATCATTGTCACCTATTGTAAGGTTCCAGTATATATTAAATTTATCATGTTTCAATATTCATCGAGGCTGCTTGTGAATGTCATGATATATTAATGATAGCTGTGTCATATGGTATAAATACTATATTTGCTACCCACTGTGCGTCAGAGAGTCCTGCCATGACGAAACAATATCCACATCAATTGTTAAATATTTAGTATTGATGGAATGAAATTATAGAAAAGTTGACTCCATTTAAAAATCAGTAATATACAGTCATACCTGATTTATATCACCCCTTTTTTCCAGAGCATTTTTGGTGATATAACT